ATCCAGAGGAGGGTCACAAAGATGATCTGAGGGCTGGAGCACCTCTCCTATGAAGATAGGCTGAGAGAGTTGGGGCTGTTCAGCCTGGAGAAGAGAAGGCTCCAGGGAGACCTTCTAGCAGCCTTCCAGTACTTAAAGGGGCCTACGAGAAAGCTGGAGAGGGACTTTTTACAAGGGTGTGTAGTGACAGGACAAGGGACAATGGCTTTTAAACTGAAAGAGGGGAGATTTCTATTAGATATAAGGACAAAGTTTTTTACAACGACAGTGGTGAGGCACTGGAGCAGGTTGCCCAGAGAAACTGTGGCTGCCCCATCCTTGGAAGTGTTCAAGTACAGGTTGGATGAGGCTTTGAGCAACCTGATCTAGGGGAAGATGTCCCTTCCCATGGCAGGGGGGTTGGAACTAGATGATCTTTAAGGTCCCTTCCAACACAAAGCATTCTATGATCCTATGATTAAAAATTTGGAGTTTCCACTGAACTCAGTGGTCATTGACCTTAAACGTGGATAACGTGCTGTCATGTTGAGTCATCTCACAGTCCCAGACCAACCAAAACAGGTGAAGCCAAAACAGGTGCTGGACCTGGACCTCTCAGCCTTGCTTCTTCACCTGTGAATAAGGACACTATGGTCTCTGCAGGGGAACTGTAAAAACACCATGCAGACCCACAACCTTGTAGGCATATACAGGCAAGCAGAGGTCAGGGGAGGACTTGGGTGTTACAGCAGTAAGCGCCAAAGGAAAGCCCGGCAGTAATTATTAATTTCATCTTCAAGCACGATTTGAATACAGCTCAACAAATGAAGCACTGAAGAATGAGGGTAAGATAAAATATTGACTAGCTGCTCCATCATTGTCTGGTTTGTGCCCTAGATAACACGAGGGTTATTTTGGAAAAAGCAGAATGGGAGCACCTAATAAAAGGCTGGAGCTTTAAGGATCTGAATTTTCAAACTCAATCTTTTTTTTTTAAGACCATTTTAATGCGGCTGTATGCAACTCTATTTAGAGAGGTAGCCACACATTGACATGCACATATAGAGAGGTTATAAAGGCACATTATTCTACAAATATACAGACATTTATCTGTGTGTATCCAGACTTTCCTAAAACACAAACAAGCATCTGACACCTAATGCAGCCCTTGATGAGAATTGCTCTCTCTTCTCAGTAGAGTACCACCAGTAATTATTTACCATTAGTTCTTAAGGGGAAGAGATGCAGTTGGGATGTAGTAAACAAGAAAACTCTATAGATTGTTCAATATAGCCTGGCTGGCTCTCAACTGAGGTAAGAAGTGATTGGATCACACCTCCTGGATATTTCAATCACGGTTTTTGTCACCGGGGAAAAGCACCTTATTAACCTCTACTTGGTCAGGTCCCTTCAACGTCCATATATGCAACCTTCTCAAGATCATACAAGCGCCCCTCTAGTTCATGTTACCAGTCTTCCAGCTCTAAACTGCTGTGGGGTTAAACAACTAACAAGACGGAGACCTGAAGGGTTTATTTAGACTAACAACATCTTGAACTCTGCTACCTTCCTACCTGCCACAGATTTTTTTTTTTTTTTTTGCAACAGTAAGGGTAAGGGCTCCTTCTTCCCACGACAGAAACATCTGATTGTGGCAAAAAGATGGTCCTACAAGGCATCACTGGTTATTCACAAGGAAAATCGTCATGTGTGGGGAAAAAAAAAAAGGAAAAATCCTTCTCATGGATTAATTCATTACTTTAAAAAAAATAAAACAACCCAAGGAAAAGGGTCAAGTTAAAACTGTGGTATTTTTAAAGACATGTACCCTACCATTGATACATTTTCTGGCATGTCTCACATCATCACCCCATTCCTGTGACGACTTCACCATCAATAGGAGTTGTGTGCATCAACCCAGGGAGCCCCAACACCGGGCAAACTGTACGTGAAAAGCACTATTTTTTTTCCGTTACGGCAGAGAACTGAAGTATGCAACTAGCACATACTGTAAAGGCATTCAAAATATGACAAAAAAAAAAAAAGTTTAAAAAAAAAATTGTTCAAATGCTTTCAATCTGCAGAAAACAAATGCTCTCTTCACTGACTGCTCTGTGGCAAACTTCTAACTCCATCCAGAAAATCCAGCATTCCCAGTCTGGGCTAACGACCATGCTACCAGACATGAGTTTATGTTTTTCATGCACATTTCATGTATTCCCACATGCTGTGTTGCTGCCAATAATTTATGACTGATCTGCACCCAGCCTGCCCTTCAGCATTTTATTTAAGCTCCGCAACACTGATTTACAATGACTCATCATTAACACAAAAATGTATATGTGTGTTAACAAGTTTGGAAGAATCTAAGGAAGAAGGCAAAATTTTTTTGCGAGTCGTGCCTGAATGACTTATGAGCCCATTGAAGAAAAGGAAAGCTAACTACAAATGATACGTTACCTCTTCCCCGCAGCAAACAATTTAGGCAAGAAGAGTTTCTCCTCCTGCATACCTCCTTAGAAGGAGAAGGATTCAGAAAAATGTTGGGAGAGGGTTGCCCATATGCCCAGGATTCGGGAGGGGATGAGTAGCTCGTTGGTCATAGAATCATAGAATCATAGAATCGTTAGGGCTGGAAGGGACCTTCAAAGGTCATCTAGTCCAACCCCCCTGCAAGGAACAGGGATATCTCCAACTAGATCAGGTTGCTCAGGGCCAGTCATCCCATGGCTGGATGTTTCTTGAGGGTACACATGTGTGCGTGTGTGTAACCTGCACACTCAGCCACGGCCTCACAGCCTCCTTGTTCCTTAGCATCCGTTACAAAAAGCAGGGGCTGAGTTACCATATTTTGGCATCTCTGCCCACCACATAAGGATACCTGTTACTTAAAAAAGCCCCAACCGGCTCTACAGTGTTAAATCTTCATGGGGCTGGGAAGGAGAATTGTCTCAATAATTTATACAATTGTACCACCACAGCAGAATTACCGAACTAGCTCAAGCAGAGGAAGCCTGCCCTACATCTACAAGACTTCAGTTATAATGTATTTTGACCTACTTTTTTTTCCCCCTTGCTCATAAGGAACTTATAAAAACACATTTGACGGAAAGTTGAAGTAAAAACTCCACAGATCCGAGGTGAGACGAGTACTGAAAAACATCCCAGAAAGTCACTCAGAAAAAAAATTCACCAGCTTTAGCTCAAAGCATCCCATGTTCATCATCTCCAAAAATTTCTTTGATGGCCCATCTTCAACAGACACAGTTGGCCGTGCCGAATCCTATGCTCCCGGACGCAGCACACGCTTGCTCCAACCCATTGTTAAATAAGACCCCTGGTGAACACGCACAGCTTCTCAACTGGCAAAAGCACCTATCGTTAAACTGAAGGACAACCATGTATATAAATCAGGGTATCGCCTGGACAAAGGTTGGAGGACATAAAGCTAAAGAAAACGCTAATTTTTCCTGGTCAAGCCAAAATAACGCAGGTTACGTTTCCTTATAATACGTGTTTGACGTTTAGTGCCTTTTACTCCTCCGTTTTAAAGTAAGTATCTTGGAAGCATATTACACATAGACTAAGTATTCGGCATTTTCCTTTATTTAGTGTCTTAAAGGGCTTCAAAAATTGATCTCCCAGGGCTGCTGTGGGGTCACAGAAATTGATAACCCTTACAAGCTATGCTTATGTGAGCCCGCCTGCGTCTCCCAGATAGTGCACTTTGTAAATTAATCCTCCAAAGGCAAATATATTGTAAGTAGCTTGTTATCTCTAAAGTACTAAATTGAAGAATACATGGGATTATATTGACAGAAATTACATTTTCTGTAATGGGGTTTAATATATCTGCAATCTCTCCCATAGGCTCCTACTCTCTCTAAGAGAGGAGGGTTTGTTAATGTAGGTGCAATGGACATCAAGACCAAATTTATTCACTAAAATGGATTAGGCCATGTAATCAGAGCTTCAGTAATATTAATCTCTGACACTTACTGCACGGAAAAAAAATACTTTTGTCTGCAAACTGGCAGTCCTCCCTCCCTTTTCCCCAGCAGGCTCGCCGTTTGCCTTGGCCATTTTCTGGGTATTACTTCAAAGAGGATAAGGTTTCCCATCATAAACACTAATCTAAAAATATTAGGACAATTAATTAGATACACTTAGTTTTACAAGGTATTAGATTGCAACACACTTCAAATATGACACTTGTTCTGGGATAGTGGGAAAAACCTACATTTCGATGCATTAACAAAGGGTGATAAATAAAAATATTTTTTGAAGTTGTGTTTTTATACTTAAATCACGAATAATTTTCACTGGGTGCCTTCGCTACGTGCCAGACAGCCAGCAACCCCAAAGCCACTGCAGAAACAGCACGGATCTCGATTTCCTTCAAACGAATCGCTACTACAACACACCAGGAGCTCCAGCAACCTTTAGCTGGAATAAATAAATAAATAAAATTGCTCCACACCGTACTTCAGCAGCAAAGAGCCAGTTTGTCCTCAAAGTTTATTTGAGTTTATCCAGCTAAAAACTGGACTTTTAAAACAAACCAGTAAAGAAATAGAAGGATGTCAGTCAAAAAGCAAAACCCCACTAACAACATTAAAAAAAAAGATGACAGCACCCCAAAATAACAATATGCTCTGCAGAAACGGGGCCAATCGCCCCTTTCTTTTCACCCAACATCTCAACCTCTTCCAAGACCAACGTTCTCAAAATGGATGTGGCTTCCTATTGAAGAAGACACATCCTGAGCCAGAAAGAGGACTGGTACCCGAATGCGAATACACCGAAATCTGCCCAAGTGATGGGAAAATAAATATGACTTGTTTTCCGTGGCAGCAAACCTCCTGGTTCCCGTAACTGGAACCATTCACGCGGTTATATCACTTTCGCATCGATAAACTGCTAGAGGGGAGCAGACGAGGGCAAGGTGTGTCCTCAAAAATGCAAAGCGTTAGCCGGAGGGTGCCAGCGGCCGTATAGAAACACTGAGGAAAATTACTTACCAATTGTTCACTTGAAGTATAGTGAGCCCTGTGTCTTGTGCCAACTGCTTTTTCTGTTCTTCTGAAGGGTAAGGGTGCTATAAGACACCAAAATAAATATATACATTTAAAACAATGCGCTTTTTTTTTTGCCTGCTTTTTATTTAAATTTTTTTTAAAAAAAAAGAACAAACAAAAAACTAAAACAGAAGCGTGACATCTATTATTGAAAGGTGAAAATGCTGAGGTGTGTCACTCTTTTATAATTATTAATGGGCTACTACATCACTTAATTAATGGCAGTAAAAGACAAGCCAATTATAAAGATTAGTGAAGTGGAGAAATAACTGCTTAGGATACTGGCAGTACCTTGATACTCAAGAAGGATATTTGTTGCATTAGCTGAAAGTTTTTGCACTTGTCTCGAATGACCAATTAGAGTCAAATCACAGATTTTTTTTCCCCTGTATTTTGCAGCACAATAAAGAGTGCGATAAAGCACCCTCTCTCTCAAACTAAATGTTTTCTGAGATAGCGAAGACAAATCTTGCCAGTGCCCCAAAATAATTTGCAAATAAGATCAGCATCCTGAACATAAACAAACACCCGGCTTTTGAACACAGGCCAACACAAGGTCAATGATCAGCACATTTTTGCCTGACATTAACATAGCTGTGCTGCACTAATCCTAAGAGACAGAAAACAAATACTGGTTTAATTGAAGATAATGTTAAAATTCAATCATAAGTTCAGTTTCTTGTGAGAACTTGATTGCTTTCTCAGAAAATTCACTTCTGCATGAATACAGATTGCTTAATAAATCCACAGTGAGAACCACATCCAAGTTTGAAATTTAGAAATACCATTTCTGTCCTTTCCCTCCATGTAAAAATGTCACTGTCCCAAAAGGAAACAGCCAAATATCACAAACATAACAATTCCCAGGAAAAAACCCTGTTCTGAGGATCTGGCTCAGCTCCTAACCTGGACACCTAAGTCTTAGTACACATCAGATTCAGATCATGTCTGCTGCAAGGGACTTAATAACATTTCAGTAAAGATAATTTGATATAACTGGTTAGACCTGTCCCAACATCCCATTGAGCAGTTGTTTGTCACAAAGTATTTGCTGTTATACACACATTCTCTCTCTTTTTTTTTTTTTTTTTTTTTTCCCCTGAAACATTCCCATATTCTTTGGATGTATTCTTTGGCAGAATATTACACGAGATGTAAACGGAAACCTTGTAAAGTGTAAGAATTTAAAACCTCGTAAAATTCAGCAATCTTACTGGTATTGTAACTATTTAGCAGATTTTATATGTTCTTGTAAACAGCATAATCTGACAACTAATAGCTACGTTACCTGCCTGCATCGCCTCACTTTACCAAATAGGAATTATTGTTGTAACTCCTGCAACAACATCCCTTTGCCCAACGTGTCCATTCCAAAGCCCACTTGGCCATCAGCTCCAAAAGATACAGTATTTTTCACCCCAAAACGGTGAAACCTTCCCAATTTCACCCCAAAACTTCCCATTCTTTTAAAAATACTGTTTTCTTGACAGCAAGCCCACAGATAACCTGCACACTTGTAAATTACCCCGTCTTTTCTGCATGTATGTGAAACAGCTCTAGAATTGCCAAGTGGAAGACAGAGAAAAAGGGATTTTACTTCTTTTTAACTGGTAGTTTGCATTTCATGCATGCAAAAACATAGCATGAATCTAATAGTCTGCCTTACACACACGTGCATCCACAACAGTCGTACTTAACTTACGTCCGTCTATTTGAACATAACATTTTGCTTCTCTTCAAAAAAATACCCTACAGAGATGATTTGTAACATTTTTGTCTTTACAGCTTACTTCCCATTTCATTACTTTGCTATCAAGCGAGGACAAAATTATTCTTTTTTTTCTTATTTCACTTTGCCACCTTACATGCGATCTAATTTTAAGTAATTGAACAAACTGTGTCTAATTTCATGCAGCAAGCAATAATTACTAAACGGCCTCTAGCTATTGGAATTGAGAACTCTGTCTCCATTAAGCAATTTTCAATTGTTCTGGACTTCTTTCCAAACAGACAAGACTGAATAAAATTAGCCATCAGAATAATACAGTCACTGTAAAAATAATTGCTTTAAAAGTCCCAACCCCTAAATTCCTCAAATCGCAGTATGTTTAAGGTCATCTGATTTTTTTTTGTTTCCCATAGCCTAGCACAGCACAAACTTTTAATTTCATGATAAATCTATAATTGCCATAATCACATGACAGCCCAGGACTTCACGTAGCTAATCCCTCTTAGCTAAAGGTTCACAATGCGGCAGGCTTTTTAACTATGATTCGGCGTGGTTTAAAATAATCTTAAATGCTGGGCATCCTTATTATATAAGCTTTCAGTGGATTGTACGAGTTGTTCCTTTGTAGGCTAAAATAAATAAATAAATAAATGAAATAACAAAAATGACTTGACAAAGAATCGGCATGCCACAGGCTAGGTTGCTATAAAAACATTCAAAGCCTTGTTGCATTCCCACCCACAGGGCTAGGAAGGCCTGTGCTACAGGCAAAGGCAGACATCACATTGCAACAGAGAGAAAGGGGAAAACCCTGAGACCTGCCATTTTATGAAGAAATAGGAAATTCAGTCAAAGCTGCTGCTGCTGGTCTTTATTTCATTTGTGTGAGTAGGACAGGTGCCTTCCAAAAGCTTTCTAATGGTTGTTTAAAGGGACAAAGACTCATGCACAGAGACGTGTATATATATTTGTTTCTATATCTGTATTATATTTGTGTGTGTATGTATACATACACACACAAATATATAAAAATATATATTTGTGTATATACATATATATATCTCTTAGTCAAATAGCTAGTTTTAGGTAGTCCTGCGAGGAGCAGGGAGTTGGACTTGGTGATCCTTATGGGTCCCTTCCAACTTGAGATATCCTATGATTCCATGAAATATATAAATATGTAAATATATATGGAAGTGTGTGTCTACAAACACCACACTGACTCCAGCTGGCAAGTCCACCTATCACTCTGGATCACTTTGGGATATCAAAGCAAATTGTACCACTGTTCGATAAACAGTGACTTGAGACCTTCACTTTGTTGTGTACATTAGCTCCTACCATTATCTCTTAAAAGCTTAATTATTTGCAAACAATTGATCAAGACGGGAATTGGAGGAAAGAGACGTCGGACCACCGGGAGAGCTGCAATGCATTAGGAGAGCAAACAGAATTACCTTTAGGTCTTATAATCAGAATTAACGATTGGGACCGTACGCAGGGCAGCGCGAGAAGCTGTAACCCTCTTGCTGGAGTGTTTTCCATTTGATCTGCATTAACACCTCGAGTGAAAGTCATAAAACGGTGATTACAGATGGGAAGGCTGACCCTCCTTCCCAGAACCAGCCCAGCTTGTGGATACTGGAAGACTGCAGACAGGCTTTCTTGCCAAGGCCAGAGGAAAAGGGCAATCCCGGGAGGGAGAAAAAAAAAAGTAGGAAGCAGGCCGGTTAAAAAAAAAAAAAAAAAAAAAAGGCATTTGGAAGAATAAGGCTGACAACAGATAAAGACTCTGAATCTGGCTCCGCTATTTTCTGATCATGCCTGCTGCTGCTACAGCACTACAGAGCAGCATCCACCGCACGGTATGAGACCGAGTGCTTTTTCCCTTCCCATAAATCTAGCACTGAAATGCGGATTGTTTGGCACCATTAATGTGTTTCTGAGGCTCTGTGGTATTACTTTTAATAATGACTTAGTACAGAAAGTGATTGCTTAATAACACCATCAAAGTCTGCATGCAAATGAAAATTATCCCTGGGGGATTTGCCCAGGGTAATATGAACAGTTAAGGAACATTTGAAAAGGTAAAAATAACTATGCAAAATATGAGTCAGAGCAGTCGTTTTAGCAGTAACAAAGAAATCAAAGTGACAGAGAGAAAAATGTAACTTTCCATCATATCCTCTCGTCACTGTTTTATGAATGGTATTTAGAGAGCAGCAGTCTTAATAAAAGTCCCTTTTTAATACAGTCGAGATCATTTTTAGCAAAACAAATAAGCATTTTTTTTTTTTTTTACCACCTTTGACTACAGCCGATGGGTAAAGTCTCCAGTAGATACAGACGGAAAGCATCCAAGTTTGTCTCTTAATGACACCCCTCGTCCAAACGTACTCTTTTCCTTCAGTTTTCCACCCCAGGCTGCAAATGCTGGATGCCAGGACAGCGACAGACTTTATCTTATCTGTAACCCAGTATCAACAACTCTCCCTCCCTCTCTGCCTTTGCCTGCCGTAGCAGCGTATCGCAATGGTGGCAAAAAATACAAAAATAATCCTCCCCAGAACTTACTGCTGAGATAACGGGAGGCAAAACCGCCCCTTTTCGCCCCCCCAAATTACTAATTCCTCATGGCATCGAACCACCTGGATGCCAACGCTGCCAACCAGCCGGAGCACAGCACAGCGGCGGAAGCAAGCCCCAAGTGAACGGTTGCACGTCACATTATAAGGACGTCGTGGCAACCGTCCAGTGTCGCCCTTATCGTGGCAGCGCCGTCGCTTGGCTGACCGTGCCGGGAGAACCATATCGGAAGTCCTTTTATCCCCTTCCCCCAGTCCCCTGCCTCCTCCAGAGCTCAGCGTCATGCACCAAGGCGAGATGACCTTGAGCTAAATTCTGGTAGGTGATGGAAAGAAACTATCCCCCCTCAACATTTACACCCTCAGGAGTGTCTATCAACTGTTTTCTATCCTCAGAATAACAAGAAAAAAACCCCAATACTATGATTTTCTTGTTTCTGAAGAGCGACCCAGCCTACATCTCACTCAGTAACCAGAACAAAGCCCAAAGTTCATCAGTGACAAACTGCTCATTGGTTTTATGTCAAACTCTAAATCCTTGCTTTATGCAAACTTGTCCAGGGTTAGCTAAGGTGGCGGCGGAGCTGTTTGGGTCTCTCCCCTTCCCCTACCTCCTCCTGGTTTACAACTGAACTGTTTACATTAGTGATCGAGTTGACCTACGAGAAATTATTAGATTTTTTTTTTAATATCCATAATGCTTTTG